GGGGGGGGGGGGGGGGGGGGGGGGGGGGGGGGGGGGGGGATGGGAGCTGGGGAGCATTGCTGTTACCTGTCTCCATCCTGTGGCTGCAGGGGGAACTGCAGCGTCTCCTTGTAGGTCTGGTCCTGGATGCGGTACTGCAGGGTGACACCCCCCATGGGAGTGTCTGCGGGCTGCAGGCAAAGAAAGGTGGTCAGAGGTGGAATGCGACAGGGGAGAAGATGCCCTGGGATCCCCCAGACCCAGCTTACAGAACAAAGAGGGCAAATACGCCCAATTAACACCAGTTGGGGGGCTAGCCTAGTCAGCCCAATGGCTGCCTTTAGGGTCCAGAGTTAACAATCCCCATTGAGCTCAATGGGGCTGGGGTAGCACAGAGACTTCCAGCCCAGTGGCCATCATTAGAGGTCAGAGTTATCGATCCCCACTGGAGGTCTCGTCTACACTACATACTTTGAAAAATCCATGAAAAATCCACACCCCTGAGCGACATAGTTACACCGACCTTAGCCTCCCGTGTAGACAGCGCTATGTCAGCAGGAGAGCTTCTCCCGTCGGCTTAGAGTGTCTTCACCAGACGTGCTACAGCGGTGCAGCTCCGCCGATGTAAATTTGTAGTGTAGACCTGCCCTGAGATCAATGCAGCCGGGCTAGTACAGAGACCTGCAGCCCAGTGGCCATCATTAGGGGTCAGAGTTAACAATCCCCACTAAAATCAATGGGGCTAGGGTAGCACAGAGACCACTGGCTCAATGGCCATCGTTGGGGTTCAGAGTTAACTATCCCCACTGAGAACAATGGGGCTGGGGTAGCACAGAGAGCTCCAGCCCAATGGCCATCATTAGGGGTCAGAGTTATCGCCCAGGAGGAGACTGGGGGGCTCCTGGCTCAGTCACTGATCCCGAGCCCTGGGGGCGTCCCAGGGCAGGGGCCTCACTCTCTCACCTGGGGCTGCCCGCGGAGCTGGGCGTAGACGAGACACCGCTGCCCACCGAAGATCACCTCGGGGCCACGACGCAGCAGCTCCGCCTGCATCCCGGGGGGCAGATCCCAGCTCAGCGAGATCCCGGTCACCGCCGGCTGCAGGGCCCGCTTCAGAGACTGCAGCACCTGGGAGAGAGACCGGCACACATAGGGTGGGCCAGGACGCCTGGGTCCTATCCCCAGCTCTGCAGGGGAGTGGGGTCTAGTGGCCTAGAGTGGGGGAGCTGGGAGCCCGGACTCCTGGGTTCTCACCTTGGGCTGCATGCGGTCCTGGCTAGTGATGAACTCGGCGCTGCCCTCTGCTGCCCGGGCGATGCCTTTGATCAGAGCTGTGGAGGCCCCGGCCCCGATGCCAAAGGAGAAGCACCTGCAGGGGGGGCAGAGTTCAGGGCTGGGGGGGCAGAGCTGGTGGGGCCCATCCAGTGCTGGGAGGGGGGGACAGGACAGTTGGAGAGGGGCCAGTAGGGCTGGCTGGGCTGGGGGCGGGCTCCCCATGCTGGCGGGGCTGGGGGGTAGGGTGAGGTGAAGGGTTGGGCAGATGCTGGGGACTATGGTGTGGGGGGGTCCACATGATGGCAATGCTAATGGGGGCAGGGCTCAGGGGGCAGGAATCCCCATTACCTGTGGGTCCCCCGGTGACGCTGCACCTCTGCGATGACATCCTGGGTGTTCTCTACCTCCCCATCCGTAAACACGAACAGCTCGGGGGGGGGGGGGGAAGAGCCGCTGCCAGAGCCAGGGACCAACCCCCCCCCGGAGACACCCCCTCCCCGCTGGGAACGGGAGCAGCCCCCCTAGAGAGTCTGCCCCTCTGACCCTCCCAGAGACCCCCGGCCCCATCCCTCCCCTCCCAGAGATCTTCCGAGGGGATGACCGACGGGGACCGCTGACCTTCTCCCCTATCTCTGTGACCCTCAACCCCTAGGCATGACCCCAACCCCCACCCATCACCTGTTCACCGACCCCTGGAGACAAGAACCCACCGACTGCTGTGGGCACCTTTCCGGGAGCTCCCTCCTGACCCCCCCACGTGTGCCCTCCCTGCCCCCCCGGGCTGCAGGGCACCCCCCAGAGCTGGGCACGGCACAAAGCACTGCCCCTCCCAGCTCTATACAGAGGTACCCCCGCCCGGTTGCTACCTGCCATGCCCCGCTCACACCCCCAGGGGCACTGGCCCCCTCATCTGGCCCAGAGCCCCAGTCCCACTCTGAGCCACCCCATGGCCCCTGTCGGCTGCCCCCCAGAACCCCCAGCCCCTCTCCAATCCCCTCTCCCGGGGTCTCCCCCTTGGAAGTTCAGGAACAGCCTCCGAGGAGAGCAGGGGGGGGCGGGCAAGGAAGGGCCTACGATGGCGTATGGCCCATGCGACAGCTGGGAGCAAACACCCCATGGGCAGGGCTGGGGCACTGGGGGGGGCTTAGAGTTACTGCAGAGAATCCTTCCCAGGGAGCTGGCTGGGGGGGAGGAGGTCTCGCCCCCATCCTCCGGGCAAGCTGACCCCCACGTGTGGGGTGGGGAAGGGATTTTCCCCCAGCTCAGATTGGCAGAGACCCTAGGGGGTTGGTCTCCCTCAGCAGCCTGGGGCACTCACTGGTTTGAACTGGAGCAACTGGGGGGAGTCGCTGTGACCTGACGCCTGTAACTCATGGTTTGGGGGTGCAGTGACTCAGCCCGAGGGGCGGGGCTGTCACAGGGGGGCGAGGGGCTGAGCAGTGTCACAGGGGGGCGAGGGGCTGTCACGGTGGGGGAGGGGAGCTGGGGCCTGATGAGATGATCACGATGGTCCCTTCTGTCCTGAAAGTCTATGAGTCTGTCCCACCAGGCCCGCATCCCTCTCTGAAACCCCCCACATCACCCCTCGGCCCCACAATCACTCTCCGAGCCTGCCCCAGGACGCCCCTCCAGCTGGCCCCAGTGCCCCAGGTACCTGGCGTGGGTGCCCGTCCCGGCAGGGGCTGCGGTAAATGGCTCGTAGTGGCTCCAAGATTTTGGTGCCCCCCAGGTTAGCCTGGAGCAGCTGGATGCGCTGCAGGGACTCGGCCATGGTCTGCTGGGTATATTCCACACTCTGCCTGCGGGGGGCGACGACAGGTCTGGGGCTGGGACAGCCGAAGCCAGGGACACCCTGCCCCCAGCCAGCCCTGCCCCTAACCCAGACACCCCCTGCCCCCAGCCAGCCCTGCCCCCTAACCCACCGATACTCCCTGCCCCCAACCAGCCCTGCCCCCAACCCACCGAAACCCCCTGCCCCCTAACCAGCCCTGCCCCCTAACCCACAGATACCCCCTGCCCCCTAACCAGCCCTGCCCCCAACCCACCGAACCCCCCTGCCCCCTAACCAGCCCTGCCCCCTAACTCACAGACACCCCCTGCCCCCTAACCGGCCCTGCCTCCTAACCCACAGACATCCCCTGCCCCTAACCAGCCTTGCCCCCTAACCCACAGACACCCTCTGTCCCCTAACCAGCCCTGCCCCCTAACCCAGCCAGCCTCCTCCCTGCCCTGCCCCTCGGACTCACGGGTAGAAGGACTCGAACTCAGACCCAAAGCCGTAGATGTTGAAATAACAGCCCAGGGGCAAACTCTTCAACAGCAGGAACAGGGTCTCCTGGGGACAGACAGACGGATGGAGAGTCAGCCCCATGGGCCCAGCCAGCCTGGGCAGCTCCCCCGGGCGTGGCCCCACAGGCCCATCTAGCGCAGCCTCCCGTCTGGCCGTACCTTGGCGCTGTTGATGCGCTGGCGGGAGAGGTCTCTGCCGTCCATGGGGCGCGCCATGCTGCCGGAACGGTCCAGCAGGAGGATGAACTCCCCGGCCCGGCTCAGGGCCGGCACCGCCTCGGGCACGCTGGGCAGCAGGGTCACCATCACGGCCGGGTCGCCCATCAGGGAGCCTGCAGGGAGATGGGAGCCAGCCCCCAAATGGGGCAGGCATGGGGTCGAGCCCCCGTGAGCCGCCCCCTCAGCACCACCGACTGCCCCCAGAGACCCACCCCCACTGCTCTGTCCCTCCCCCCACCCCTCTCTTGCCTTAGATCCCCCACCACCCCCAATACCCAGCCCCCAAGTGCCTGCTCTCACATCCCCAGTTCTCCCCCGTGCCCCCCAAACCTGCAGTGCTCCCCAGTGCCTGCCTGCTCCCAGACACCCCGTTCTGCCAACGCCAGCTCCCCCAAGGCCCCCCGCTCCTGTCCCCTGTCCTCCACACACACCCCATCCCCAGCTCCCCCAAGACACCCTGCTCCTGTCCCCCAACCCTCGCCTGCCCCCAGATTCCCACAGCACCCACCCCCATCAGCCCTAGGACCCCCCATTCCCCAGTCATCCCCCTCATTGCCCCGTGCCTCCCTGATCCCATGTCACCGCCCAGCACCTACCTCACCCCCCTCCCAGATCCCCACCCCCCTCTGCACCCCCGCCCAGAGGTAGCTGGGTGCAGGATCCCCTCCACCACCTGGCTTGGCTCCAGGCAGCCCGGCCTCCAGCACCGCGCTGGGTTTGTGTGGCTCCACGTAATAGACCAGCAGCTCCACGTCCCGGTCCCACGGGGGGGCCTGGGCCAGCGACACCTGGGGGGCGACAGACACACAGTCACCTCCACACGATTCCTGGGGGGACAGGGTCCTGCTGGCTCTCGTGCCTGGCTCGGTGCCCCCTGCATAAAGCCGGGGTGAGGGGTTGACCCTGGGAACGCTGGCTGGGCCCCCCCGGGTTCAGTGGAGAGAAGAGGGAAAAACAACCCCAAAGGCCAATGCAGGAACTTGGCTTTTCCTGGTGAAAAATTGCAAACATTTGACATTTGGGGGGGGGGCCTAAATCTTTCCAATTTAGGGGTAAAATTTTCCTGGTCCCCCACACCTCCATTTCCTTCCACTGAGAAACAAGGAGAGGGAAAATCCCAGAAACTAAACACTAACAGAGCCCAGCGACTGCCAGGGATTTCATCCCCAAACTGGCAGATTTCAGCCTGTCCAGATTTTCCCCAGAGAAACTGGGAAATTCCCCAGATCCGTTGGTGTCGCTCGATCCCCCCGCCCCCCAATCACCCAAAGTCTGGCCCATGCTCCCCCTTTCAGGACCCACCCACCTGGGACCTGCCCCCCAGCCTCGCCCCAAATCCCCCCCAGCCCACAGCCCCGTTCCCTGGCACCCACCCCTCAGCCCAGAGCCCCCTCTCTCCCCCCAGCACCCTCCTCCCATTGGGGATGGCCGGGACCCAGGCGCCCGGGTGAGCCCTTACCTGGGCAGTGGTTCGGTTCCCGGCCGTATAGCTCAGGGGGGTGAGGGGGCAGTTGGAGAGCACGCGGTCGATGCCGTGGGGCAACTGCAGCGTGGCGCTCAGGCTCAGGGTGTAGGGCAGCTTCCCCTGGGGGACCCGCGGGACCCCCTGGGTGACGTCCTCCCCGTCCCACCCTGCAGAGAGAGACACAGGGGTGAGGGCCAGGGAGCTGGGAGAGAGCAGGGGGAGGATAGGGAGTATGAGATATTGGGGGGATATTGGGCTGGGATATCAGGGGATTTTGGGATGGCTGGGGTGGGTCACATACCCTGGGGCGGGGATTTCAGGCCTGGGGCACACAGTAGTGGCCTATGGGGCGTTATGGGGGCTATTTGGTTCTTTCACTGTGGGGTACGTAACGGGGCTATGGAGGTTTCGGGGGATTATGGGCTGTGGGGTCACTCACCATGGGGTGTGTAGTCCGGGTTCTGGGGGCTATGGGGTACAGGGAGCTATGCGGGATCTATGGGGCCTATGGGTCTGGTCTCAACATGGGGCATGTGAAAGGGGTGCAGCATGGCTGGAGGCACACAGCTGGGGTATAGGGTGAAAGGGAGTATGGGGGGGATCTGTGGGTCTCACCATGGGGTGCATAGCGGGGGCAGAGGTATCTGTGGGTCTCACCGTGGGGCGCGGGGGGGGGGCGGGGGGGGGGCTGTGGGTCTCACCGTGTGGCATGTGGGAGGGGTCACCGTGTGGCACGTGGGAGGGGCAGGGGGATCTGTCACCATGAGGCACGTGGGGGGGGCTCTGGGTCTCACCGTGACGGGGGTAGGGGATCTGTGGGTCTCACCGGAGGACGCGGAACGGGTGCAGGGGGGGCTGTGGGTCTCACCGCGGGGCGTGTAGCGGGGGCGCAGCACGGTCGGCAGCACGTACCGGGCGGCCCCGTCAGGCTCCAGCGGCAGCTCGCAGACATAGCGCAGGGTCAGCACCGCCTCCTCCCCGGGGGGCAGATTCCCCAGGGAGCAGCTGAACACATCGCCCCCGGCCCCCTCCTGCTGCAGCAGGAACGAGCTCTGCCCCCCGGCCAGCGCATCCCCATACAGCTCCTGCGCCTGCTGGAGAGACGGGGTCACAGCGAGATCCCCCCCGCCCCAAAGAGGACGAAATCCAGCCCTCGGCCACACCTGCTCCCCACCCCGGAACCGTCCGGCCTGGGCCTCGGATTTGCTGCCTTACGAGGGGGCAAGAGGCCGGCAGCTGGTTGATTTCTCCCACAGCAGAAACCCGGCTCTGAGGCGCGCAGGGAGTCTCTGTGGAGGAGAGGGAAGCTGAGGGTGGGATGGGGGCGAGGAACACCAGAGCTGCGGTGACCGAGAGGGGCTCTGAACCCCACTCCCCGAGCCACGTTTCAGCTCACCACTACTCCAGTCGCCTGGAAAATTCCCAGCTGGAAGGTTGGACGGGAAGACTGGGATCACCTGGGCAAACCCGCACGCCGGGGAGGGCCCGGAATGAACTGCGGGGGGATAGAAGGCAGATCTTCTAAACAAACCTCCCGTCCGGCTTCACGCACAGCCCGGGATGGAGAATCCACCTCAGCCCTCAGGGAGTTGTGCCAGCAGCTAATTCCCCTCCCTGCCAGACAGGTGCACCTCCCTCCTAGTGTGAATTCCTCTGCCTGCAACTCCCAGCCAGGGGATGGCGTCAGACCATCCACTGCCACGCTGCAGTGCCCCCACCCCCAGCAGGTATTTACAGCCGGGGGGCCAGGCCTCTTCACCTTCTCTGGGCTAAGCTCCATAGGCTGGGAAAGGGCTGAGGCCGGGACAGGGCTTCAGCGGGGAGCTGGGGCTGGTTGTTTGTCCCCGGCATTTAACTCTGATGCCTAATTCTCAGCCCGGAGGAAGGGAGTCGGCGTGAAAATTGCGACAATTCACAGGCCCTGGCTCCTGCTGCAGTAGCTGCTTCTTGGGATGCGATGGAGCCAGAGGCTGAGTCACAGTGCGGAGGTGGCGATGGTGAGCTCCGACCGGCAATGGGCACCCAGCGTATGGGGAGCAGGTCAGGGCCGGCCGGGCGCCACGGGGATGGGCTCCGGGAAATCCATGCAGGGAGAAGTACGAAAAGAAAGGGACGGGGGGGGCGGATCGGGGGGGGGAGGAAGGTTTAGGGGTCACCTCCAAACACCCCCAAACCCGCCCCGGCACGCAGGGCCCCCCAGCCAGGGAGGGGAGACTCTGCTGAGGCAAAGCCCTGATTCAGGGGGATGAGCCCAGACCAGGGGGTGGGGAGGCCCTGGACACAGAGGGGGCAGGACCCAGATAAAAGGGGGGGCTAGGACCAGGGGAGGGGGCTCTACTGGGGGCCCGATCCGCACCCCCGTACCTTCTCTCTCGGTCTCTGAGCAGCGAAGCCCTGAGTCAGGCTGGAAGGGAAAGTATCCCTGCTAGCCCCAGCCCCGCCCCCGCCAGGGAGCGTCTGCAAACGCCTCACCCCTCCCCCCCAACCCAGCCAGGGAGTGTCTGCCAACTCCCCATCCCCAGCTACTATACACCAGGGACTGTCTACACAGTTCGCCCTCCTCCCGCCCGCCCGGGAGCCAGGGACTGTCTGCAAATTCTTCGCTCCACACATCCTTCCATGTCCCCACATTGAACTGAGGCTGGGATGTGTGTGTGTCCAAACTGCCCCTTGCTCCTTCCTGCCCCTTTATGGTGCAAAAAGGGGGGAGGATTGTGGATGCAAATGTTTCAATTCCAAGTTACCCCATTCCCATTAGCGTATTCACCCCACACTCTCCATCCAGGGGCCAGTGGTGGAAGAGGGGGGAGAACCCATCAGTCAACCATCACCCCTGCCTCTCAGTAGCGAAAAGGCATTGAAGAGAAATGAGGAAGCTTGGCCGGACGTGGGGAAGGGAGGGGGGAGTTTTTTCACCCACCACATTTCTTCTGGGGTCTCTTCAGAACCTGCTTTTAATGTCCCACTGGGTGGTGCTGGATCTGCCCTCCCTGGCCCTGAGTCCCCTGTGGGAGCCCAGAGCTGGGGCAGAAAGAGCTTCCCCCTCCACTCACAGCCCCACACCCATGGGCCTCTGGCCTGGGGGGACTCATTGTAATGGAAAGGTGGCAAGTCAGTCTCCAAGGCCCCTCCAGACCTCGCTCTCTGTGCTGAGGCTGCCAATGAGGGGCCGGGTAGTGTCCATGGGGATGGGGGCATCTTCTCTCCTACGGCCTGAGCAGCGTCCAGCACATCCCTCACCTCACGCAGCATCCCACAGCCCCCATTGGCCTGGAATGGCGAACCGCGGCCAGTGGGAGCTGCAATTGGCCAAATCTGGGGACGCTGCAGAAAAACAAACCGTCCCGGCCCACCAGCGGATTTCACTGACGGGCCACGTGCCAAAGATTGCCAACCCCTGTACTATGGTAATGGTGGTGACGTAAATACCTTAAATATGAAATATGTAGCCCTTAGTCCAAACTCAGCTAATTAACAACTTAGACTGAGGGGTTTAGAATGGAAATAGGTGCTTGAATTCTGTTGAAATTAATTAAGGACTGGATGCCTAGCAACTCTTTGTCTCCTTAGATAATCCCCATCTACTCTTAACATGAACCTCTGAAACCTAACACTCAATTTGAAACCGAACCCTGAAACATCACTCTAAAGTTAAC